ATGTTGGTTTTACTATTTTCTATGTTATACATTTTAAGGTTCATACTGTGCTACTGTTTACTGAAAAGTATGACAAATGCAGAGAGTTCAGTTATTAGTAATAAGCTATAGTTGTGCAATTTCTTTCTTTAAATTCATGTTAAATGAGGTAGATTTTTCAATCAAAGTTCAAAGAACATCAAAATTATAGACAAATATGATAATCTTTGTACAAAAAGCAGTGTTCTATATCACCAAATATTTGTCTCCTGAACCAGTGCACTAAATTCATATTGTGTGGATATTTTTATGAATAACCAAATCTGTTGCCTATAAAGTCAGTCAAAACATTTTAATTACAAGAGAAAAGGAAAAAAATGTTATAGGGGAGTTAAGCATAGACCTTTCCATCATTTAAAATCTCAGGAGGCTGTTTGTAAAGTCCTTAATATCTGGGCTCCTATTCATAACTACTCTGATTTCTTCTATGCCTACCACTGATTGACATGCTACTTGCAAATTACTACTACTTAGATAATGTAAATTTTTTTGATTCACTGCTTAGATAATGTAAATTTTTCTTCTGACTAAACCAGTAAGGCCTTTAATTTCTTACAAAATAAAAATAGCTATACTTTAGAGGGTAGTGGCAAATATTAAATAAAATTATATAGATTGAGAGAGTTTAGCATTTTTTCACTACTTCACTTCTAAAAGACTGCAAACACCTGTATTCAGAGAGAAGAGATGGATTATGCAATAAATTATATTTGATCAATATCCTAATCAATTGAAGATTTAAAAAATAATGCTATAACCAAAACTTCCAGATGGGTTAAAAATTTCAACACAGTTTATAAAGTACTAGAAAAAAAACCCTAAGCCTATAACAAAATTATAATCATGCAGGAAAAAGAAGAATCATTCAATTAACTAGATAAAAACACAAAATGTTTATCAAAAAACAAAAGATTTTTAAAATTACCTATAAGAGATAAAGTCATACATAATACATTTAAGAGACAAAAATTTAATGTGTTTAATTTGTGATGAGCTCTTTCAAATCCAGAAGGAAAAGAATAATTCCCAAATTGAAAATGAAAAAAAAGCAACAACTCATCACTAAGTAATTTACAGGAGAAGAAATAAAAGTGATGAGGGGATATATAAACAAGAGCCTCTATGTCAACCAAAAATATTCATTCAAAAGACATGTTTGTCATATGTCAGTTCACCAGAACTTAAAACCATGGATACTATTTATCTAGCCTTGTAAAGAGGGGTGAAACATATCCCTTGCCAGTTTAGGACAATGTACACTGGTCTAGTATTTTTATAAGATGATATAGCAGTACTAATAACATGAAACACAGAAATTAATTTAGCATTAATATGGTACTTTGTAAATAATTTTTTATATGCTTCATATAAAAAATAATAGAAGAGCTCTCGATATACCAACACAGAAGATGCTCATACTAAAGTAGGAGACACAGATGGCTGAACAATATGTAAATATATGTATAATTCCATATATACAAAAATATGTTTCATCATATCAATACCTCATTTATTCTTTTTATATGTTGTGTTGTTTTGATTTCTAACAATAATAATGGTACTGTTATAATTAGAAAAATAACATTTCCATTTTGAGGAGTTAATTATGAGTTTAGTTTCTTATGTTGGGTTTAAGTGTGTATGTACCAATATTTTTAAGATAGAGATGTGTAAGTCCAAATGTAACTTAGATTCCGAAGGCTTGGTGTACTACTTGTCTCTTCACTCTTTACAGTTTGGTGTTAAAAGTTTATGCTTCAATATAAAAAAAAACAACCTTCAAATGCCCTTCCGCAGCGCTCTACAACCCCTTCAGCCAGCCCTGTAATTTTGTCAGGACCATAACCATACAGGTAGAGGAGGCAGAAAATGTAGCTTTTCACGTTCTGAAGTTTCCTTCAACCTCGATCTCTTTAAATGATAAAGGCAGCTTTGAAATTTTTTATTTAAAAGACTAAGCTTGCTCAAGCCACTGCTACATTTTATAGATGAGGTAAGGTTTTTCTTTAATTGTCATTACTGTTTTAAACCATGTTGAACTCTAAAACACATTGTTAAAACAAGGCTGTGTTTTTTTTCTTTATATTTATTTTATTTTAAATTTTTTAGGGAGAGGAGAAGGGAGGGAGGGAGAGAGGGAGAGAAACATCAGCGTGTGGTTGCATCTTGCATGCCCCTGTTAGGAACCTGGCCTGCAACCCAGGTCCTATGCTGGGAATGGAATTGACGACCCTTTGTTGCACAGGCCAGCACTCAGTCCACTGAACCACAGCAGCCAGAGCAAGGCTTTTTTTCTTTTAAGTTACCAAGCCTATCCTGACATTTAGGTGAATATTTCATGGAGAGTCTGTGTGTTAGTGCATGCATAAGTACCTGTGTATGTAATTTATGTTGTGTACATGTATATGTGTTATATGTGCATTTGTTTACATACACATGCTGTATGCATGCATATGTGCATGTATGCATATGTGTACGCATGTTTTGCAGCAACAGTGTGTGCATTTATAGGTATCTTACATGTACATGGGATATTAAGAGAGAATACAGAAATATGCAATATTTACAGTACATTTAAAATAAAGCAAACCTTTAAGTTTTCCCATTTACACAGAATACTATGGCAGGTAAAAGAGCTTTAATCACATGCGGGCAAACATTGCAGGCTCAATGTAAACATGAGTGGCATCACCTCAGAGGTCAAATTTATAGGGTAACTGCATTTCTGAAAATGTAGCATCCAATGTACTGTGAGACCGAAATCCAAAATTTGATAAATGGATTTCATGCAAAAACCCTTTACTCTAAGATGTTAAAAATGAAAAATGATACGCTTAATGTTACACTATAGCACCACAAAACTGTGCTTCTCCTAACTGCTTCATTTCTTTCTGCCACTGCAAAGTCCACTCTAATTGCCCAGAACAAGAAAATATGTTAACAGACAGAAAAATGGCTAAACTCATCCAAGAGGAATGGTGCTGAAAGTGGAAGAGCATGTTAAATTTTTAGTTTACTGCTAATATTATATAACATTAAATATTCTAATACACTTTCTTTTGATTGATTGAAAACTTTATAAGTCTTCAAAAGGTATGTAATAATTCCATAAATTTTTCCTATCTTGCCATTTGATGTTTAATTTCTATCTGAAATTTCTTCTTCCAATTTGCTTTTTATTTAGGTTTATAAAAGGTAAAAGAAGTAAGTGTTCACAGAATTTATAAAATGATTAAATGGGTCAAGGAGAAGTGTCCTCTGATTTGTTTATTTTTTATTTAGGTTTTTTTTTGTCTTCATAGTTAAATATTTTCTTTGAAAGGTAGTAGTAACTTCATTTTGTTTTGTTTTGTTATTGTGAAAAATGTAGAAGTAAAGGAGAGTATAACCCTGACTTAGGGAAATATTTATAAGTTACTGTTGAAAATTATTCTGTTTCATTTCTGTGAGTAATCTACTTTGTTTGAGGCATGTACAAACACATATATGATAATGTGGAGTAAAAAGGTTAGAATAAGAAAGAAAAAAAAAGAAAAGCAACTTTGTATCAGGAATCAGAGATGTATAAAACCAATGATATAATCCAGGCTAAATTATAAGATACATCTCATTCAATGTGAACATGTGTATTTTGATATACAATAAAATTTTTTACTTCCTGAGTCCATGTGGAAAGAAGTATGTGTAAGAACTGAAGTTCACCCAATATTGGAACCTCATGTTGAAACGGCTTCTTTCCTCTGAAAAATATTTTTCTGGATCCAAAAGAGCTAAAAATGAGTTCCTTAAAAATTATGTTTTATGAAAATTGCTAACCTGAGCTACCTTACACCCTTTCTAAAACAAGATAAGTATTAATAAATAAATTAATTTGTTGACTACTCAATAAGCTTAAATCATATTGATATCTTAAGAGTTTATATTTTTTTAAATGGTGGAAGAGGGTATAGGAGGGATACATGGTGATGGAAATTCTTTTTTTAAAAAAGAGAAAATAGTTTAAGAATATCTTGTACTATTTATTCACATACATGCAGAAATAAATAAATTTCATCATATATGCTTATACTCCTGTGATTGTTCCAATGGGGAGATTAATGAAATAAGAAGACACCCTCATAGGAACATATTTCTTAGGAGTGTGACTTTTAAATAGGACTAGCTCATCATAACCACAACTAAAATATGTACTTGTAGACAGATAATTTAAATCCTAAGTCTTTTGCTTGACATTTATCTTAAGCAAGTCAGACAGTTAAGTGCATGGTAGTGGCACTTGTAGAATGTAGAAGAGAGTAATACTCAATAGAAAAAAGGGAATAATTAAGGATTAATCATTGGCATATCAAGTATAAGATAGGAATGGTCACATTATGTACCCATTAAAACATTATTAGTGTCTGTGTAACAAAAAAGTGATGAAGAGGATCAATAAGTAGCAGAGTATGTGAGAAAGAGATAGTGAAATACCTACAGAAATGCATTTATGAAATGAACTTTCTTCTTGAACATCATTTTATTCTTTTCAGAAGAAAACATCTTCATTATTTCTAGTACTCCCAAATGGCAAATAACAAATATTCTATGTTATCAAATTCACTGAAAGCAAACAGAAAATTCACTGGGATGAATTTCCACAATCTGATTGGATTCCAAGAATTATCCAGATGCTTATTAAACACTTAGGTTCCCAGGTTCCATTTACACCTATTGAATCTAATCCTCCACAGAGGGTGCTTATTATAATTAGGCAAGATTTGCAGATATGTAATATATTATAAAAGCATGCAGTATGTTATAAAAAGTCACCTCTTCTGATTATTTTGTACCAACCATTCTTGAGGGTTGAGAAAAAGACGACAACAGTTCTGACCTGCTGTTATGTTTAACTGTTTGGTCCAGTACATAATGAGAGAAATACTTAAAGCTCCTATGTTTTAATGTCTGAGTAATGTACTTACTACAGTTTTCAGCTTTCCTATTGTCCCGAATCACTATTCTTTGGTTGATAGTGCTGAAGAGCGTTGTCCAGTTGATGGTATGATAGTAACACAAGTTGCTGTTGTCAGTAATATAGATGTTTCCTGCACTGATTTCTTTCAGAGACTGGAACTGCAGTGAAGTGATGCCTTGTTGCTTGAGGATAAGCAAGGAGAGGCCACTAAAGAGAAGGGAAAGGAGAACTTGAACTACAATAAATATTTTTCTAGCCAGGACATTCATTCCTGAAATGAAACAATGGTGCCACATCTTATACCAAAAAAAAGGTAAGTAGAGCATAAAGAGAGATTGAGTCAATAAACCTGTGCTCAGAATACAAATTTTTACATACTGCATGCTGGTAGTTTTACAAGTGAAGAAAAAGGTAAATTTTTAGAAGTATGAATATCAATGACCTCTCTGTCTACATATTTACCACCAACATATGTGCTCACTAACATTCCCTCTACCTGTAAAATATTAAGTTCCTCAAGGATAAAATCCTTGTGGTAAGTTTAAATAATTAAATCAATGTATACAGAATGATTTTGCCTCCCTAAATTGAGATATTAATTATAATCTATTTCAAAAATTAGAATGTTTTCCAAAGGTAAATATCACAGAGAATGCTTTTGATATTTAGCTTTAATTTATTCAGAAACAAACATATAATAGTAATAATGAAAGAAGGTATAAATAAAGGTAGTATATATTAAACATTAAAGAGAAGAATGAAATTAAATGTAAATTTTACAAAATAATCATACTCAGAAGGTTTGAGTGACTGGGGAAAGATCTTTCCTCTAAAAGTTAAACAACTATACTGTGGAAACAAACGATCATTTCAAGGAAATTGTTTTTATTTCAACATAGTCCATATTTTTGTAGTTAAATGCTTTTTCCATTCTCTGAAGAATAAATGTGATCCCCACATCCCAATCAACTAATGAACATGATTTGGAGATTTAAGCTGTCCCCTTTCATTTTAATTATAAATCTAAACATACACACACACACACACACACATTCATAATAAAGGTCTGTTCAGAATAAGTCCAACCATTGTTAATATAACAAGAATGGTTTGAATGACATCGGTGTAATCTGATAAATATATATATATATATTTTTTATAAATAGATAAATATATACATATTTATAAACAGATAAAAATATACATTTATCTTATGTGTGTATGTTAGTACTCAACTGAGATGTAATTTGTTCTCCCAAATCCTTGCTTCCGTTGTAACCACCTTGATTTGTTGATTACAATGTGAGCATAACGATTCCTTGGTAGATGTGTAACATTTTATTCAATGGATAGTAAAAATTGGTGGCATATAGCTCTTGACTAGAGTGTATCCCTGAACTATCACTTTTAGTAACATTTTTCCCTTTATATTTTAAAACCTGTTACAGATATACCTGTTTTAATAACAAAATTCAATGGATTTTCTGTAATATATTATTATATATTATTTCATGACAATACTGACATTTAAACAGCATTTATATTTAAACATAAAATTAAATTAAAACATCCTTATGTAAATCAGCTTTTAACATAAATAAGAATTTCATACACATATAATCTGAAATAAAAGCAGTGGCTTAATAAATATTAACTCTATTTTTATTATATGAATTAAAATATTGACATCAGACGATTAGAAAAGCGACCTTCTGAGCTCTGAGTTGTCTGTTTATTTTCACTAGCACTGCATGTAGCGTTGTGGACCAATTCTTGAAACATAAGCTTTATGATGTTTGGTTTAAATGACAACACCAGAGATAAAGTGAGAACTTCCTGGTATGGCATTTGTATCTCATGCATCTGGGCCATTTCTAAGTCATATCTTTTAATTATAATAATATATGATCAAAAAGGTTTAATTTTGTGGTTTATATCATGTGCTTCATACCTGTAAAACATTAATATTACTATAATAATAGATAGTTGAAAAATCAAACTCTGTATTCTCTATACTTTAAGCACAACTGGGGTACTTGTCACTGAGCTCACATTTGGAATTGAAAATAGAATCCCGATATTTGTAGAGTAAGTGCATTAATGAGGCTGATAGTTTTGACGTACATAAGCGTGATGCTGCTCTTGAAATCTGGGAGACCTACATCTTTGAACATATAAGCTTACCTATAGAGTACTCTTCCACCGATGGTCACCAGGTTAGAGAAAACGCTGAAGTCAGTCATGTTTGGGGGCCATGATTGTATGTTCAAGAAACCTACAAAAGAGTAAGACAGTAGAAAAATTCAGAATGTCACTGTCTTAGTAATCATGTATAATACTGAATATTCTAGAAATATAATGAAAATATGTTAAAATATAAATAGAAGGGCAATGAATATTCCTACTTTTGAACCATTCTATGTCATACTTCTTCCAAAATTGAGTGTGTTATCCAAAGTTCCAGGTCTACAATACTCCATAGATAAGAATATCAAAACACAATGAGCACCAAGAATCTATGTTTCTCAGAAAGACGGAATTATAGACTTGTATATGTTAAACTATTTAAATAATTTTAATTTAATTTAGTCTTTCAAAAGTAAAATGTTTAGTCTAACTAAAGAAAAAATACAATTTCAATTTCTCTGAAATCCTTTAGCACTTCATCTATACACTTATGACAGTTTTCTATCTTGCATTCTAAGGCATATATATATATATATATATATACACATATATATATATATACACATATATATATATATACCTAATCCTCCTCATTTGATCTTGCATTCTTTAATAGCAAATCCATGTTTAATTTATGTTTATGAGCCCATATCAGCTACTGTAACAGTCCTGAGGATATTGGGTGCTCTATAAATGTGTTTGATGAATACTACACATTACCCATGCTCTATAATACCCCTTGTGAAAAAGTAAGAAGAAAAAACATGGTTTCAAAGATTAGTTGACAATTGCAAAAATAGTAACATCAAAATTTCAAGGATATTTTACCTTTTAAGTTCTGTGGGCTTTCAAAATATACACAAATGTTAAGGAGTAGACTAGAATTTACAAATGAGTTTATGATTCCAATACTATGTCATATTTTCAAGAAAACAAAAAAAAAATCACATAGCTAATAGTCCAACAATTACACTTAAAAATTACCTGTTATCTCTCGAACTGTCCGAAAGACATTCAGTTTCTCTGGGTCTATGGCTTCAATTGCATTGTAAGGGTCCCTAGAAAACCAAGGAGAGAAGCAGTTAGATTTAAAATTAAATAAAGGAACACGAATATAAAAAATGTGACATTATTTTATTTAAATTGAATTTTAATTATCAGTAGGAAGTTTAGCAATGTCTGTCTAAATTTTTCTAGCTTAGATTAGAGGGTAACTAAAAGGTGCTTAGAGGACTATTAAATGACACAGAGCATCAGTTCTTCATCACATGCTGTTCTAGATTTACAGAAATAATTCTCATTGACTATACCAAAGAAACATCCAAAAAGAGCAAGTCCATTTACGAACCACTTTATTTCATTTTGCTTTAAATGTTTATTCTTAATTGGGAACATATACTCTGCACATAAATTAAGTTTGTGAGGACATTGTCTTCTAGGCTCCTCCAGGTACTCTAAATTGCAAATAGCACTTGTAATTTCCTAGGAAGGATCAAAACAAACAAGAGAAGTCACCTTTATTTGCTGTGTCTTTACATTTATCTGTTAGCAAATTTTCATACTATTTATAACATTGTGTAAAAGTTACTCTTCATATGAATTGTTTAGAGCAATCCTGTTCCTTTTGGTTTATTTATATTCATTTTTATAACACAGTTGTATTTGCTCACATCTATATAAATCACACCAACATTTAAAAACAAAATTTACAACTAATTTATTAATTCTCAAAAGGTGTTGTAAATTTGAAGATTTTAAAAGTCATTTTCTAATGCATACATATATTTTTATAAATAATGTTTTTGATGTATATACAGAGAGAGATGTTCTGTCTTCCAAAAATAAACATAAAATATCTTTTAAAATTAAATGTTTAATAAATTTTTCAGAGGTTTTCATCTTAAGAACATTTCTTCATGTAGTATATACTGACCATATGAAATAACTGCACACTTGAATATTAACCCAGCATAAACACAGCACATAACACCAAATTTCTCAGTAATTAAAGCAAAATTTCCAGTTTTTAAGGAATATAAAGTATTTTTAAATGCTTTATTACATTAAAAGGCATTCTGTGCTATCCCAAGCAGAGACCTCATATTAATATGTACCCTTCAGAAAAAATTGGATCTATTCAATGACCACTTCTAGAAAGATCAGACATTCTAAGAACGCTGAACTTAAGCTTTTTAAGAAGCATGTATCCACCTGTAGCGAGCAAACAGTTTTATTCTAGTTGTGGGCATCTATTGTTTTTTGATTTGCACTATATATATATATATGCATATACATACATACATATTTGTTTTAACATTACTTTTAAAATATATTAGGGTGCTATTGGTTAATAAAATTATATAAGTTTCAAATCTGCAATTTTATGATACATCATAAAACCTCCCATCACCATATATTTGACCCCCATTATCTTTTACTACCCCCAACGCTTCCGTCCGGCAACCGCCATGCTGTTGTCTGTGTCTGTGTTAGGAGGTCCGCTGCTTTACCAACCTTCAGAAGCCTTCTTTCATGTATAGGGAATAAACACTAGGGCATAGTGATCCACTGGATGCAGTTTTAACAAGGCTATCAATCGAAGTGACCCACAATCCCCTGACAGATAGGCATATGGCCTATTTTCTGAGAATTTGAGTCTGAATCCATCGGCATTTATTTATCCTGGCCTTAGAGTCTTGTAAAAAAACTATTAGTTTGAGCACCATGATATATGGAACCACCTTGTAGCGGTAGCTCTCTCCACTTGATTCATTAACATGTTCTTTTATACTGTGAACCATCCCATGTCTTTCAAGGGGAAAAAAATACCTTTGGTTGATTAAATTACTGTTTTAAAGTAAGAAGTACTGTCGATATACTATTGTGCAACCAGTTTAACCTGGAGAGTTATGGAGGGCTTGGAGAAACACTATAAATGAATTCCTCTGAAATTCACACATAAACAATGAATATTTTCCTCAGTGTGACATGAAGATACCTCAAAAGCTTGGTGTTGAAATTAAATGTTCTGGAAAAACTTGCTCTATTCATAACTGATGATGCATAAAATGAATAACTATGCTTTCAATGAACATGAGGCCAAAAAATTGTTTGCCTTCCTGGAAAACTCATGTTATTTTAAAAATACTTTATTTATTTATTTTTAGGCAGAGGGGAAGAGAGTGAGAAAGATAGGGAGAGAAACATCAACTGGTTACCTCTTTCACACTCCCAGCGGGGACCTTGGCCTGCAACCCGGGCGTGTGCCCTGACCGGGAATCAAACAGGTGACCTTTTGGTTTGCAGGCTTATGCCCAACCCACAGCCACACCACTCAGGGCTTGTTGTTACTGTATTTTATGGGTAAAGACTTTCATATTCAGAAGAAATGTCAGCACGACAGTAGGAGAATGAACTTTCCACAATTGTTTTCTTGAGGAAAAGCAGTGTATAGAAGAACTCTGATAATAATAAAATATTCTGACTTAATTGAGAAATAGTAAAAATTCAGGGCAAGCCCACAATAATGAGGTCAGTCCAAACTTTTACTGAGAACATGTGCAGGTCACCAGACCAGGCATTAATAAAATCTGGACTGTTCACATGAAGCCCAATGGACCACAAAAATTTTATATACTTAATTTTAGAGATGCAGGACCGTCATAAAATAAGTTGACAGAATTCCACTTACCATCTTCTGAGTACCTCTAGTGATTTTCATTCTACAGACACTTGAAATCCATAGAATTATAAAATCGAGGAATTTCTTAGCTATATTCAGAGCCATGAGTAAGAACATTATATCGATTCTGTCATTGTGTTTGGTGATCCGATATAAAGCTCAGTGTAAAGACAGAGAAACAGATTTTCACAGTTGCATTGAAATCTATGTTTTCACTGAACTCATTATCACATTTCCATTGTGTAACATCATTACAGACTGTCATCTAAATACCTGACACAGTATGGACATGCTTTTTTGGTGAGCGTTTTGTTGCTCAAAGCACATGCACATGAACAATGTTGAACATGACAGCATTAAAAGGTTGTTATTATTCCTATGGGTAACCCTAAACTCTGAGTTTGGCCCACGGCTCTCATTCTAAATAAAGAAATAAGAGTACCTCGTCTATTTCTAGCAATGGCACTATTGTGCTATAAATTAAACATTTTTTTTATTTCTTCTTTACATTCCAATTGGATAAATAAAATCAGTTTATAAACTTGTATACATATGTATATGGGTATTCTTATCTATGATTTTTATTTCACAATTAAAAAGGAAATATTAAAATGCTTAAAGCATAAGAGATGGACATTGGCCTGACTGGGATGCAAACCACTTGTGTAGTACAGTGCACGAGGCTGTTTTCAAATCTCTCCCCATGCTGATAAACTCAGGCTAATTCATTTATTATATCCAGGTGCAATCAGGCAATGTGAATTGAGTGGCTATGCTTTATTTCTCAGAAGGCAATGGTAACATGATATAATCTGTCATTCCTGGTGATACTTGGTTTTTAAAAGTTAAAATATTAATATATTGTTTTACTAAGTGACATATATACATTGAATTATATAGAGGCACTTAAGTATCAACTCAGGTCTCCTATCCAATGGCCAACGGGACAATGATATCAATGCAAATGGATTCAAAGAGCCAATGGGGACTAAGGTAAATTTGATTGAAGGCGTCCCCTTACAAAATGGTGAGCACTATCTCACCTGAACACATTGTTGCCATGTAAAATTGTGGGCTAAGAGTAACCAAGTCCACATATTTTTAAAAAGAATTTAGAAATCTTGATCTTTAAAAAAATACTACATGGGCCAAATATAACATATGTGGGACAGAAAATATATACATACTACTAGAGTAGCTAGCTTAGACCCACATTAAAAGCTACATTTTAAAGTAAATAAATATTTTATGGAACAATACCTATAGTAATTTATTTGAATATAAAGAAACATTCTGTTCTATTTCTCTTACTATTTCTAGTAGGGTATATTTATTCAAAATGTGTTCAATTATGTGGCTTCTAGAAATAATATGATATATGTTTAGAGTAAGATTTTGAACTGAAATATGAGTGATATTCTTTATCTGTAGCCCATTGCACTAATATTTAGGGATTAAGCAGTAATATAGACAAATAGATAAAATATGAAGTAAAACTATTGACATTTTTATTGCAATTGAAAGACTATAAACTGAGTTGTGTTCCTGGTTAAAACCAGCAGGTGGTTTCTAATGAAGGAGCCCAGAAAATGTTACAATTTTTATTGCTAAAATGCAATTCATTTTATAGATCCCTTACAACAGCACTAACTTTCCAACCTTAGGAAAAAAGAGATAAATACATGTGATGGCAAAAAGGAAGTTCTGGAGGATCAGGACAATTTCAACTTCCTGATTTGCTTTTTGTGAGATACATTTTTTAAGGCATATTAATTTATGTTGCTTTAAACTAATTGTTTAGAAATTTGAATGAAATTTCTCACCTTACCTGTTGATATTGTTTCCCTAATCATATCTAAAAATATATCAAGCTTGCTGAAATCTAGAGATTTAATGAGAATGTCTTGCAAATACATTGGCTTGTATATAAATTTATATTTTTAAATCTCTGTAGTCACTAATCTCATCATCTGGATGTATCCCAAACTTTGGTTTACCATCACCGCTGGTGAAATACGGCGTTTGATTTTGTTGGAGAAGAGCGTTAATGTGTGTTTGAACTCCTCTGGGTCACAGGGAATCCAGCAAACAAAGCTAAAGATGTGCTTAAGCTTTGTCTAAACTTTGTAAAATAATTTTCTGCAAAAGTTTAATACTGACCCATGAATACCAGTGACAAGAAAGATCAAATTCCCATTGATTTTGGTGCAGTTTATGAACTTGTCAATGTTGCTGGAATCCACAGTCTGAGCTGACATCAGTGACCCCGTGCCAATGCCGTCACAAGCTGGAGAAACAAGATTCACAGTCAGGATACTGAGAAACGTTTCCAGTCAACAAATCATTGCATTTTCATTATAAAATAACATTATCTTTCACTATAAAATTAAAATATTATCATAAGAAATAAATTGGTTTCTAACATTATGTCATAATTCATCCCTGCAACCCTTACTACTTGGCCTGCTTTAAAATAGTATTCCTGTACTATCGTCTAGTGCCCATGACTCATAAGAATTATATTTTGTATCAAAACTCCATATATACACATAACAGATGCATAACTAAAACAATACTTTCAGTAATCAGAACTTGCTCTTACTACATAAAGTCACCTCATTTTTAATCCACCCTAAAATAATGCCTTCATGCTTTTTAATGCTGGTCACCTACACTAATTTCATAGCCTAATAATGGTCTATAACCTGCAGTTTTAAATACACTTGGCTAGTTAAGAATATATATGAAAAAGAGTGCTAATGATGTGAGTTGAGCTCACATAATCAGGAAAAAGAGCCATTCAAATGTTTATACTTAAATTAAGTATTATATTTTCTGAAAGTTCTATTTAAAAAAAAAACAACAACAGCATGTCTGAGTGCGTGGGGGGGGGGGGGGGGAGAGAATACAGTTTAACGTAAGTCCAAAGTGTACCTTTATAAGACACTCCTATTGCTTTGAAAAGCTTAATAATATTAGAAAAATTTGAACTGCACTTTTGTCCTATTTAAATAAATTTAATTCTGGTGAGGAATTTGAGCACCATAGCTGTAAATTATTTCTTCCTCCACTAAAATTCTAAAACATAAATTATCTGCCACATTTATGGTAAATGTCCTTGCCATTTCATATAGCTTGTGTTTCAAAATATTTTTTTAGACCTGGAGAGTACATGTCATGTTGCATTTCTCTTTCTACCCTTTTTTATACATAGCCGATCATTTTGCATACATTGGCAAGCAATTGATATGTGTGTTTGATGTTAAATTAATTGCATGAACCCTTGTTTAGCTCATAAATTTCTAGATTCAAGATTTGCTGCATATATAATAAAGTGCAATTTTATTTCTAAGTTCCTATCGAAGTAAACTCGTGAGTTTTATCTGGATTAGTTTAGCATCTTTCGTCTAAAATCAATAATAGACATTGTTACAATAGTGGGTAATTTTGAGAGCTATTCAAAGTCATGGAAAAGTTTGGATCGGGAGGTTTTGCTGTGGAAGTGGTGGTATGGTCTGAGAGGTGAACTTTGTCTCTCCATTAAAAACTAAATTAAAAACTTGTTATAGGGCTCCTTTTCCAGCCAGAATAAGTTCAGCCATCACTCACCTTTTGGACAAATATCAGTACAAGGTTTACACATTTTAATCCCATTCTCTTCTACTTCCATCTTGGAACTAGGGCAGGCCCGCACACAAGAACTGGAATCGACCACAAAGTTATCTGATAAAAAAGGTAAAATTAGCAATAACGTTGATGTTCCGCAAACACATTTAAACAAGATATTTTACGGTGTAAAAATGATTACCATCATTGATAGCATGTATGTCTCTTTTTCTCAAATAACCATCTGTCTGAATATCTCAGCGTGAAACAGCATCTAGAAACACCCATATTCAAATTTTAAGGCAGCATGTTTAACAACTAGGACTTGCTTGACTACAGCTCCATATCCTGCATGGCCCCCTGAGATTGAGTAAATTTCTTTTATAGACTTAGGAAACTACATGACATTTAGTTTGTGTTTTTCAATAGTTCCACTTCATTTCATGTCATGATGCAAGTCAGAAGTCTAAAATACTTCAAGTTACACGAAGCACAAATCAAGTTGAAGTTAAACTGCCTTCGATCAAGAGAGTGCACTTCATATCCAGGAGAAGATATTTAAAATGTGTTCCATCTTTCAATGGAGACCCATAGAAACTGTCCTATAACTTTATATGATAAAACAGAATAAAGTTTGAAAGGACACTATTAAGAAAGCTGGTCAAAATAAACCAGGAACATCTAGTTACCTGACATATTAGTCAAGTGTTTAGGGGTCTGGTGATCTGGAGTATCCCAGAACATTGTCTCCCAAGAAAAGGTCAAATTATGGCATGTAGAGTCTCCTATAATCAAGGAAACACACAATGCCTACCAGGCCAGTTTGGGTTTTAAAAGCCGCATCCTTCCGTGTCTGAGATCACTGCTTCTGGCTCGGTATTCAGTAGTATGGAAGGCATCTGGCCTTGAAGGGGACCCAGAGCAGGAAAGGCATATGGTACAAGTCCAGGCTGGGGTGCAAGCAGTGCTAATACTTGGGTCACAAAATGCAAGAGGCACTATGATATTAGAAGGATATATGATGGGAAAACACACCATGTGGAGTTATGGCAAGTGCCAATTGGAAAATCACATCAGAGACCCCTAGGATTCTTGAGCTGAGCCACACCATCTGCAGCATAAATTATACACCATTGGAAAAAAACAGCTCCTGACATGCTCCTGCTCATGGTAGAAACAGAAAACCTAATCATGGATCTTTGTCCTTGTCGCCAGGCTTGCCCCTCCAAAACAAAATTTTATTAGAATCATAATGTCATAATGTTGGACAGTCCCACCATAAATTCATTGCAAGATGGAAACAAGAGACTGGGATTGAATATGAGCTCTGGCAGAGACACAAGGAAACTACTTAAACATTTGGTCCAGAACTCCACATCAGCTACCATTGCACTGGCTCCTCCCACTCAGCTCAGGCCTGTGACTCTGTGACTGAGTGAGGACAAAGAGAGGGCATTGATGACAAGCTGATGAAGAAGGACCAACACTAAGCTTGGTATATGAATGCAAGTAGCTGAAAATAGATGACAGCTTCTCTGTGTGGCCTCACCAAGGAGTGCAACTGAAAGGTAGTGACAGGAAAAATCCTACTAATGGGCACAGTTTTGGGGAGTGTAAATGATCATTTACTTTGCATGAAAGCAACCTAAGCTTAGAATAAATGTGAACTCATGAACGGTGCTTGCCCTGGGGAAAGAAATGCTAGGGAATGTGGAATTGAGGGGAGTCTGGGGAAGAGCGATGTGTATGAATCCATGAGAGTGGGAAGGACGCGTGAAGATGCTTGTATTCCAAATTAAAACCTAACCTACCAGGGGGCATCCACCATGAAACAAGGCACTTGGTTAACAGGGCATCGCAGCCTGATGACACTTGCCTTCCTTTCCCCATGGGTCTTGATTCTGAGAACACGCCTTGACAACCTAATCTCTGTCTCAGGGGAACCCAACCAGCAGCCGGTATGTAAACTGTGTAACACATACCCATCCTTTCTGCAAGGTCTTTAGGATACCACTTATTCCACACTTTTGCAGTAATTTATGCCAAGTAAAATAAATAAAGATTATTAATAGTTTCCTGTGAGTTAGGGTCAGTTTCTAAAGGCAAATGAGTGTCAAAAAAATATTTACTATTTGGAGTTTGTGAATTTCAGAATTTCAGATTAGGGATTATAGAGCAGTATTTAGAAGCTAAATATCTTTGTTCAGCTACCATGCTTTATGAGCAAAATCCATCAAAGATTTGAATTTTAAATAAATACTGAAGTGTTTTAAATTAGTCTTTGATTTTATAAACCTAAACTAACACAGGAAAGGAAGTTTATGAGTTACCGTATCTAAGGTAACTGGGCATGCAATTTCACAAACTCACGTTCAGTGTTTAGCCACTTGTCACAATTTATAACTTAAGAGCCTTCAGGTGAGTCAGTGTAAAGGGTATAGTAAAGAGAAGATGAATTCCCCAGTCCAGATTTTCTGGTACTTCCTCCACCCAAGCCCAAACTCTGGACCTCAACCCCAGGACTTGAATGAAAGGAAAACAAAAACAAAAGCCCCAAAGCAAACAAACAAAAATGAAGCACAGTTTTGACTATCTTTAGGGCAAGGCACCATAATTTGAAGGTAGTCAAATAGGAAAATATTTGTTTAAGAAAAAGAAAAATTTCATCATCTGGCTCCATTTTACAATACTTTCAAGCCCCCAATTTTGTAAACATACTAGATGGTGAGAAAAAGGGTAAGCTTAGATAAAAGGTTATTAGATCAGGAACATAAGTTTGAATATTAAAGTGTTTAGAATAGAAAAATCTCTACTGTCCTAGAGTTGTGTGTGTGTATACATATATAATGACTTTCTTAAATATATAAAATGATACACTATATATACATAGTATATATATATAATGATTCCTTTAACTTATGTAACATTTTTAATAATAATGGCTAGAATTGTCATTGTATCCAAAAACTTGTTTTTGTATATTATCTCTCTGATCCTTATTCCCTATCTCTTTGATCTTTATAATGATTCTAGGAAAATGAGGGAAGATAAGATTATTACCATCAGCATCTTGAAGAGGAGGAAATAAAAAGCTAAATGGTTTATTTAGAATACCATTGCCAAAGTGGGCAAAGACACAACCCATAGGTACCCTAATCCCACCTGTCACACTCCCGGCACCATCACATGCACTAAGCCAAGGAAGCCATACCCTCCATATGCTATAGATTGTGGAGCCTTCTTCTTTTAAATGAGTATGTGAACAAATGTAGTGATATTTCAGCCTTGCCAGCAGATAAAACATTGAAGAAATGTCCCATTGGTCATTCCAAGCAAAGAAAATGATTCAAGCAAGTTTCAGGACACATTTTAGTGAATTCTTGATGAAATTTAAGCTGGTCATGTTAAAGCCCCAGAATGAGTTACTGACTTGGTAAAGAACTCTTCTTATGCCCTTCTGATCTATTGTTACTGTTTACTATTAGAGTTGATTTTAAAACTTTAACATTATATATTCTTTACAAATAAGTAATCAGAAATAATTTTAGGTAAAGATTCATTGGTATTATAAGCATACTTCATTATGTAGCTTGCTGCAACAAAACTAATCACTTTTCTGAGAAACAGCATCATGTGGTAAAACAATGCTATACAGAGAATGTAGTGAGTTTGTAAGTCAATGAGACTGCACTCTAACCTCAAACATACCAGTCCTTTTCTGAAACTTTGGATCAATCACTTTAATTTTTTGAATTTAAATAGTTCCCATGCCCCAGTAATTCATGATATCGTGACAAGTTTCAAGTTATAGTTGATTTCCCCAAAATTCTTTTGCTTTTAAATAATGACATAATTAATTTGGCTTTTCTTTTCCTGTTACTTACGAGGGCATTTCTTGACACAAAACGCTCCATAAGTGTACTTTGCATTGAAGTTATGCTCCAGCTGGAAGGTGGTTGGATTGTAGACAAAAGTTTGGGGACACTGAGTGACACAAGCTCCACTGTCATTGAAATTCATGCAGGCCTGCAACACAGCAAATATTAATTTCAATTCTAAATAATCTTAATAATACTTGTTAAAGGAACATTACTATAACAGTTTTTAAGGAAGTTTGTATTCTTTACTAAGTGTACCTCAATTGCATAAAAACTGAAAAAGTTGATAATTTTATAGTCATTGGTGTTTAATTTTAAGTTCAAATTTGCTTAGGACTTCTACAATTTCACAAAACTGTGTTTCCAATGTCAGTAAATATGCCATTTATTGTTATTGATGTTCTAATTGCTTAGTAATTATTCACTCATTTTTAAATTGAAAACTGGCTTAAATTATTAAAGTTAGCTAATAGAAAAATTCATTTCAGCTCACACTTATTCAAAGGATTTATGTTGAGTCTCAGAGTCTAGAACTAATAACTAATAACTGTATTAACAATTCTACAGAGCATACTTTTCTCATGAAAGCTGGTGTTTGGAGAGTTTGTTGCCTTAAGTGACATTCATCCTCACTGTACAGTAAGAAAATGTGTGATGGCCATTTAAACTGGACTCAAGGAAAAGGCTCTGGCAGTTGGCTAATCAAAGAGTGAATGCAGGGTGTGTAATGCCAAAGTGTGAAGAAACTCTACTTAGCCCATAATTATATAATATGATGCCATTTTCTGCGCGATCTCTTTCACGATGCCACACAATTTGGTAAAAGCCACCAATTCAAGTAAAACAATTCATGCCCACTGACATATATATGCATTAAAACCTCAATTTGTTAAACTGTTCAAATGCTTTTAAGAAGAATTAAAAACAATTTTACTACCTGAAACTGAGGTATTTAGTATAAAACTAGAGCATATGTATGACTACATAAAAACTTGTGATTAACAAAGTGTGGATGAACTAATCCTCTTAATTAAAGATATGAAACTTTCATAGGGATAATTCAGGCCTTGGAAGGCAAACTAATTTGAGTTTACGTAGTATTTTATAGTCATCATAAATTGTATGTATGATTATTAATAAGCACTAATTTATTCTGTTTCCTCAAAACATTTTCTTCATCAATTGTTGTTGAAGCAAGCACTATATCACAAACAAGACAATTCCCTGACGTTGGTCTATGAGATGCATAATCAGAACAAGAATCACTGATGATACATTATTCACTAAGATGACACTTTCCAGGAAGAATCTATTAAAAACCAATCTAGAAAACTCTGTAAGTTTTAATTTATGGCTATAAAACTTCATGTGTCCTCATAATTGCTTTACTAACATACTTATGCGGTGCTGGGCACAGATTGCTTGGCAACAAAGGAACATAAGCCAGAGGAATCAAACAAATTTACGTCCCAGACAAACAAAACAATGTAACTTATGCCAAGGCCTTGACCTGGCATTCTTGAACATTCTGTACCAAATGCCAAAGTGGAATCACAGGAACAATCCATAAAATATTGAAATGAAAATTCTGAAGCTCACTTGGCACTCTACTTATTGTGATAATGGAACCACGTAAAGCACGTAGTGAAAGTTATGAGTATTGTTTGTGTTTATTGTTATTACTGTCTTGGAATTAACCCAATGCCTGTTCAGCACCCGCCAAATCCAGTTTCCAATCCACGGCTGGAGACAGGCAAAGGGTCTCAGATCAAGGCTGCAGAACAGCTGCCCTAAATTTTTAATGTTTCAATATTCTTTTCTTCTTCCTCACTAGTCACTTCTGCAATACATACTTTTTGTTCACTATAGAATTATGGTAGAGAAGTTAAATTTCTTGTGACATTAAGAAAATTCACAAATGATTATATTGTAAGAGCTGTAATTTATATTTTGCTTATTTCCAGAATTAAATGCCAGTTTGAAAAAACAACAACTCTATTTTAAATATATATGTGTGTATTCTTTGGATAGTTGAGAAGAGGTAACAAAAAATAAATCCTTGTTTATTTTTAACAAAAAAACAACTTCTTATTTTATGATTTTTAACTTAAACTGAAGCTAATGTTCTGTTGTATGAAATTACATTAACTATAGCTCACAGAATTGCTTGTACATTCAAAAGAACAGAAAAGGCTTTATCAGAGATATCAAAATGTAATTAAGTGTCCCCAACAAGTGATAAATGTTAATTTTAAGGAAGTAAAAATATCCTTTTCTAAAATAAAAATCACATAGATTAGCATATAAATTGCTTCAAATGTGCATTTGTAAATCTTATAATTTTAGAATGATATTAGTTTATAAACAATATATATTAAAAATAATGAAATTTATAAATTTGTCTGCTGTTATCTCAAATTCACATTTAAGAGATAAAATGCTAGTGCCCTTACTCAGAAGACTCCATGATGCAACAACATAAGCAGATAATCCCTGTAAATTTTGGAAAGATGCTATTAGTTGTTAAAAAGATATCTTAACATGCTCATCTTCACATTGTCTAAAAAGTCTTATTGGTGATATACATTAAAACAGAAAGACACAAAGAACAATCCTAGTTACTCAATAGCCACCCAGTGAATGCATGACTTCTAGGAAGGCAGAGATTCGTTCTTAATCCTAAAATAGTTAAATTAGATCTTTTAAATAAGATGTTAAAGATTCAATGTGCCTGAGTCACACCAGGAGGGCAGGGAAAGCAGAGGAAGAAAAGGAAGAGCTCCCAGACTCACAAAGCAGTCCGTGTCTTTAGGTCCTGAGCAGCCTCCCGCACACTCCCGATGACAACAGTCACTGACATAGGGTCCGTAGCACCTGCCATCACATTGTTCGGCACACACCGTCCTTGTCACTGCAGAAAACAGATATGAAGCCCTGATCAAAGTCAGCCACCAAAGGGACTTCTAAGGTGACTTGGAGTAGTTGAGAAAAGCCGGGCTCTAGAATGACAATTGCCCACCACTGACTCAATTCAACAAACGTCTACTGAATAAAGCCTGCAACAGATCAATATTACTCTACAAAAACCTTTTAAATTAACACATAAATTAGGTTCTATGTTCTTTCTTGTTCCAACAAACACTACAGTGCTTTACAAAAGTCGTACAATTTAGCAAGATACAATCAAGTTTGAAATAACTGAATGAGATGCTTTGGCAGGTTGCGAAAGATGGAGTCAGCCATGAAATCGATTCACACTGTGCACCATTAGGTCCTAGAGAAGGTGTCCTCAGAAATAAATTTAAGATTTTTAGCAGTAAGTGCAAAGAGGAAAGTATAAAGCTTTACATGATTCACATTGTATCTTACATGATTCATCTCAAATAGATGGATAAAGGGAGGGAGGGAGAGAGAGAGTGAGTGCATGCAACATTCTTGCAGGAAGGAAGGAGGGAAAGAAGGAAGGAAGAAAGGAAGGAAAGAAAAAAAAGGAGTGAGGGAGCAAAGGAGGAAGGGGACAGATTTGTACTAAATACAACAAAAGCTTCCATTGGACTTGTCTTTTAACATTTTTTAATACAATTGACAGAATATCAACATATACTTTCTGTGAAAACAATGTTATAGGCTGGGCTTCAAAATTATAGTATAGAAGGAAACAATTCTGATAATCTCACTTATTAGAGATATATTTTTAAGTATTTAGAGACATAAATCTTACAGGACATGCATAGTATATCACTTCTTGGTTTCTGTATTTCCATTTCAGTCTTGTTTCTTCCCACCTCTTTGACTAGTTCTTCAAAGCTTCCTTCCATAGCAAGACTGCACCATAAACATTAGTGTTCTTCAGAATTGGTCTTGGTTGATCTTGACAATTTCCTTGCGCTGTGGGTTCATGCCTGAATGCAATCTTCATCCCTTACATTGCATAATGCCTATAGGCAGATTACTTTCAGATCCAGATCTGAATTCTCTATTGAGCTACAGCATGTATTCCTAGTTGTCTACAAAAGCCCCCATTTAGACAATGCAAGATGTAGAAAATGGAATGTAACTCACTTTCACACTTCTACCACAAGGTATATTTCTCTTCTTTGTTCCTATGTCTCAACTAATGGCAGCACCATCCATCCAGTAGCTAAGCTAAATATTTGGGATGTGTTTTCTATTTCTCCTTTCCCCTTACCATCACTGGTCATACCTAACAAAAATATCCAGTACTAGCAATAAAAGTCTTCATTACTGCCTCTCCTCTCTACTCTAACTTTTCTTAGAAACTTAACCTCTAAACTATCACATAGCCTTCTATAAGTTTCCTCAGATCCCAATTAATCCTCCCTGCTGCTCTAAAAGGAATGGTTTGAAATATAAGCCATTGCCTATAAATCAGCAGTTTCATAGTATAAAGCTTACTTGACATCCCTATACCAAAGGAATAATCCATTAGTAACAGATAAAATCCTTCATCAATTGACCACCACCTCTATCTGTACTGGCATCTCTCACTCTCTTGCTGTGGTTCTCACATCCAGGCACACACAAACACAACTGTGATTCTTGTTTCCTTGCATCACATGCAACTGTGGTTCTCATTGTCTTTTCACAAACACTCCTTCATGCTAAAATTGCTTCCTGTTTCTTCGTCTAGCAAATACTCCTCAATAAGCTTCAGTTGAAGTACCCCTTTTGCTCCGAAACTTTTCTAGACTCGTCTCTAGGCTGAGTTAGTTTGTCACTCTTGCTTCTGAATAAGCAAGAAGATAAAGTTGATAGAGAAGTCAATGAGGAATGGAAACCTAGGCTTGTGTTCAAACTCTGCCCCTGTGATAAGGCCAGTTCTTGAAATACTCTGTATTTTGCTTTAAATTTTTATTATGGAGTTTGTATTAGTGCCTATCTAAAGAGATAGAAGATGGAGATACGGTTATACAGTGCTTAACATGTCCCTTATTAGAGTGCTCAACACTGTTAGATATTATTATTGTACTTATCATAACACATTGTATTTATTTTTTCCACGTTTGCTCCCCTTACTAAACTACCAGTGTAATTTATTGAAGTATATTGTCTTAGTCATACTGTAACTTTGGCAACTGACACAGTGTTTGGCACTTAATACACAACAAATAATATCCCCTCCAGGTAAATAAATAAGTCAGATGTAACCAACTCAGAGTAAATATCTGTTACTTAAGGCTTAATGTCCTTATCAGAGAAGAAGACAACATGTAGAGAATTAAAGAGGTAGGGCACTAACAAATATAAATAGACAAATATTAAAATATCAAACAATAGAGCATATTGACATGCAAATAACATTATTATTATTATCTGTCATTAGATTTAAGTGTTCCTTAAATTATGCCATTGATTATTTCATAACTCCATATTTTCAGTTGGATGCCTTCTAATGGAACATAATGATGATATTGGTAAAAATTAAGAAGATTTAAATATGAACTATAATCCTTCCATTGGACATGATTATATTACCCTCTATGTAGGACTCTCAAAAACATCAAGTAGAATTTACACTAAAAATGTACTTAGATTCACCCTCTGTCTTATTTTTATTTTGTAAAAATAAAGTCATGTAATACGTCCTACCAGAAGCTTATAGATTAAAAAAACAACAAAATTTTGGGTCTGTACTTGTAAGGACAGTATATTTTATATTTGCAACTTGGATAACATTAAATTTTGAAATAAATAATTTCTTCTATCAATATTCCAGAATAAAATTCTACAAAATAAGCCAACTGTGTCTGCCCCTTTACCTTTTTTAAGTTTTTGCTAAAATCTCACCTTCTCAGTGAAGTCTATCTGTATTTAACACCGAATCTTTTCTAAACTATTGATTCCTGATGAACTTTTAGACTCACTTCCTCTTTTCCTCTCAAGCTCTCACTTTTTCTTTCTGCCCTTCTTCTTCCCTCTCTCCCTCTTCCCTTTCTTCTTTCTTTCTTATATCTTTGTTATAACATTGATCACCATCTAACACACTTAACAACTCATTTATTACATTTATTTTGTTTGCTAGTATATTCCAAAATCTACCTGGCATCCATGTAATTTTTATTTATATATCATATACATTATACATATATATTACTTCTACATTATGTATGAAATACACCCAGATACATTATATCCACTTACTAACTCTTTGTATTCACATATTGTACTCACATTAATGTTCCTAAATTTTACCCAAGTGGTATATTTATCTAGATATCTTAATTAGTAAAAAATACCATATAAAGAAAACATTTCTAGTAAATACTTTTGTAAAGAATAGATTTAATATAATTCCTCTTTCAGATTTAAGACTTTTTTCTAATGTACCAAGAGCTACTAATTAAAATAACATGTGTATATTAAGTAAACTAATTACTATATTTGAAATGTATTATCAAAGTATAGTCAATTAATTTGCTTTTAGTGAACAGGATTTGCTCAGCTGGAAAATAGCACAAAATGAGTCAGCTATCATATTCTACATGTCCCACCATATTTTAATCTAAGTACATTGAAGTATTAATTTTTATTTTTAACTTTATGATGATTAAAGGTAACTTTACAAAAATGTTTTTACTCTCTGTTTATATACTTTGGTCTTTCCTGTGAAATGAGAAAATTAGTGTAGATAATATTTATAAAGATAATTTACCATAAATTTAGTTTTAAATTATTTATAAAATGTTGATATTAAGATTTCTTTCATTGAGTACACTATCTAAATATGAAAATAATAAGTGATGAATATATAACAGTACAATCTTATGTTCTATAATAATCACTATACTGTAAAACTTTTAGACATGTATTTTAAGTAATAGAGTCATATGTGTTGAGTTGACTTTAAATTTTTCAGAAATCTATTTCTTTTATATAGTGGCAATGTATCTCATATTTTTTCAGGACACTTGTACCTTAGATATGTCATTCCATTTGAAGGACATGCAAAGAAATATCCCTCTAAGTTATTACTTTAAATTTTTTTAAATTTAAGTTAATTTTAAAAAAATTATTAAGAGACAATTACAGGATTTGCTTCATAAATGGTCTATAATTTATTTTAAAAGTAAAAAGTAAGGTACATTCTACAACAAAAATAGCACATCAATCATCATGGTGTTTACATATCTTAACTCCACTTGAAAGTTCAGTAAGCATGAAACATATTTTAGAAGTGTTTGCTTCTAGATAATAATATAAATGAGCAAAAACAAAAAAAATATGCTTAATCTCTAAAAAGTGAAGTGAAATAATTAACATTTTTCACATTGTTATGTAAAATTTGTTTTGAGAAAGAAAACATTCTGTACAATCTATTTAATGGCATTTGTTGATTAATAAACATTACTTTCTATGAATTAAACACATCAGACTATACACATATTTTATTATGATGGAAATACCCACCCACACACATACACATACACACACAGAAGAGTTCCTGAAATCAATGAGATAACTCAGTCTCTGTGGGAGCATTAACTTATAATTGCTTTGGTTATATTAATTTCCATCCTTGCTTGAATATTATTTCATTAGCATTTCCCATGTATTTAGTATCCTTCCTAAATTGCTTCTTTGGGTGCATTAAAATATTTGGGTCAAATATTAACTAGCTTATTCATTGGTGGGATATCACTAACTGTGATTTAATAGAAAAGGTAAAACCTGGAAAGTTAAATATTTATTTTATTAGGGTGAATAAACTTGAAATTGGGAAGGGGGTTCATTCAAAATATCCATGAGAATCAAACGTGTAAAATTTAAGAAACCAAGTACTCCATAGTAAGGGGATACTGCTGAGATAATACCTATTATCTCAAAAAATTAAAGGATATGTAAGTAGCATTATTATATCAGTACCTCACTGATAAAAAAACAATGGCTGCA